GAGCACTAGGCCGATTCTTAACTGTTAGGAATAGTGCCATGGTACACATGGGCAGCAGGCATATCTTTGATGTGCTGACTTCATTTCTTTAGGATATACACTTAAAAGTAGCAGTCACTGGACCACATGATAGTTCTACTTTTAGTTTATTTAGGACCCTCCATTCCCCATGGTGGCTGGACTAATTTACATCTTGTCATGTTAATACTGATTGTCAACTTGTCAGGATCTGCTGTCACTTGCGAAATGAACCTCTTCGAGTGTCTAGTTTCTAGGTTGAGTTATCTGAGGTGGGACGATCTTTTCTATGGTCTGGAGTCCCAGACTGAATAAAAAGGAGAAATAATGGTATACCAGCATTTGACTCTCTGCATGTGACATGCTGTGTTACAGTGCCCTGCTGTGACCTCCTCATCAGGATGGCCTCCACCCTGAACTGAGTTAAACCCTAACCCTCCCTTTGTTAAGTTGCTTCTGTCAGGTGTGTGTTAAACAGGAACAAGGAAAATCACCAGGATTTAGCAGTGACTGCATCAAAACTGGCTTCCCCTTGTTGGGAATACTTCCGTCTTAGTGTCTATTCTGGGTCTGTTTAAGATATATATATATAGATATATATATATATATATATCTATATATATATATCTTAAACAGACCCAGAAGATCTTCTGAGTCTAGACCTTGAACTGTTTCTTCTAGCTTCCAACTTCCTAGCACAAAAGTTTTCAAAATATCAACTATTTTGGATTTCAGGGTATCTGTTGTCATATTCTCTTTTCATGTCTAATTTTATTAATCTGGGTTATCATGTTCTCTTCTTTTCCTCCTTTCCTCCTTTCTCCTCTCTGCTCCCCTCCTATGCCCCTTGGCTAAGAATTTCTCTAATGATGACTTGAAGTCTATTTATCACCTATGAAATCCACCTGTTCCTGCTTATTTATAGTCTCTGCATGCTGGGTAAATCCCTTCCAGCCTTTCCATTTCAGTGTGTGCATCTTTGCCAGTGAGATTGAATTTTGTGTGTCAGCTCATACGCTAGTCTGCGATTTTTAGTTGGAGAGCTTAGAACTGTAACATGAATTAATAAACGATCCAGTGACTGATATCGGGGTTTAAACTTCAAGCTGAAGATCAGAAAAACAAAGTAGAGGGCCAGTAGCTCCTACCACTGCCTCAGGCTGAATGGGTTGATCCTGCTGCCTCTCAGTGTAGCTGGAGAATCCTGAGACTGAATGTCTTCCTACCCTTCTTGATACTGAGCCTTCCTGTCTTCAGTGTGGCTGGAGAATGAATGCCTCCTACTGATTCTTGCTCCTGTCTTATACACCTCCCTAATGCTAAGATTAAAGGTGTGTGATCCCAGGTGTTGAGATTATCTTTGTGTGAGCTGTTTATAGGACTGGATCAGTCTTGTGTAGATCTGGGTGGCATTGGACTCCTGAGTCCTAGGATTAAAGGTGTATACCACCACCTCCTAGATTCTGAGTGCTTGGATTAAAGGCTTGTGGCTCACTTTGCTTTCTGAATCCTCAGGCAAGCTTTAGTATATCACAAAAATACATCACCACAAACCACCACTTATTTAGGTTCAGGGTCAATATTGAGAGTTATGCTACTGTAATTTTATTGGATTTTTTTCTTGGTTTATTTGGAAACTTTTTGTTCTTTTCTCTCTTCCTTATTTAATTTAGGAATGTGCCAAATACTGAGTTAAATATGCTTTATTCTTTCCCTTTTCTTCTATTACTGTTGTGAAATACCTTCTGTAGTGCTAGTTTAGTGGTCATGAGTTGCTTTAGTTTGGGCTTATCTTGGAAAACATCTCTGTAATGTTAAAGGACAGCTTTGGTCTGTATAGTAATCTTAACACACAGTTGTTTACTCTTCTCCGTGTTTTCCTGGAAGTTGGGCTTTCTGCAGAGAGATCTGATGTGACGTGAATGAGTCTGTCTTGTAGGTCACTTGAAGTTTTCTTTTGTGGCTTTCCATGTTCTTTGTTGGCATTTTACTTACACTGTGCCTTGGAGATGTGCTTTTCTTGGCATGTCTGTTTAGAGTTCTAAATGCCTCTTGTCCTTAGATGTCTATTATTGCCCCTTGATTTGGAGAACATTTTTTTCTTAACTGTAATTTCAGTGACTATGCTTTCTGTGCATGTAGTTTGTATTTCAGCCCCTACTACCTGTGGATTCTCAGGTTTGGTTTCTTGATCATGCTCTACAGCTTAGGGACATGTAGTCAGTGGAGTCTATGTCCTGATTATCAGACAAGAAATCTCTGAGCATCAGGCAAGGGCATGGGCAACTAGTGACCCTGTGAGCCCCGCCCTCAGCACAGCTCTGCTCACCCTCAGCACAGCTGGTCTCCTTGTTTGCCCGAGTTCTGGCTGCAGCTTCCCTGATGCGTTTACCTTGCCTTCCCTCTTTGCTGTGACTTAGGTTTTCCACTTAACTATCTCCTATGCATATGTGAGGTGAGGTTACAACCAGGTCCTTTGTGAGGTAGAATTTGGAGGGTTTTTTTGTTTGTTTGTTTTTGCAAATACAGGTTCTTCTGTTCTCCTTAGCTGAAAGATTCATAGGCCCAGGGCAGCAAATGTCTGTGAAGTCATAGAAATGAGGTGTGCAAGGGTACTAGACTCTAAGTATACAATTTCAGACAGTAGGTCCTAGCTTTTTCTACGTTTACCATTGATCCATGCTTGCCACCATTGCTTAATATTGCTTCTCTCCTTCAGGGTTCATATTCTTCCCTGCTGAAGTATATTTTCTCTTAGTAAGGACTTCTGAGTTGCAAACCTTTTCATCTTTCCTGAAAATATTTTGTCTTTACTTAGGAGTGTTCATTTCCCTGGGTTTTATGTAGGTTCTTTCTGGACAGCGCCATCTTTTGGAACTCAAACATATTTCATCCCATTTTACCTGTGCTGCTTCTTTTCTTTAGTTTAATGACTACTTCCTGACTTGCCTCAATGTATTTAGATGAACAGTTTTCTTACTACCTGTTTTGTAGAAATATTTCAAGCTTACGTAGAGTTGTACATCTAAAATGCTACAGTGAATACTGAACTAGTTTACTCACTTACCTATTGTAAACTTTAACATGTTTGACCTATATTATGCAGTCATGTGATCCCATGTTCTTTCTCTGTTGTATGCAGACACACAGATTAACTTTCTGAGGGGAAGTTACATATATCATGCCCATTGATCCTGAATTCACCAGTATTGTGATTTACATGTGTACAGTGATTTCTTTTATTCCAATGACCCTAGTAGTTTTGTTTTTTGTTTTTTTTTTTTCTGTTGACATAATGTCTTTTATAGTACTTTCCTCTTGAAACACAGGATCAAATCTTCAGGAAGTATGGTACGGATCTGTGTAGGTCTCTAGCCTTTTATATAGAACATTTTAACTTATTACTATGTTATGATTTGGATTTTTTCAGAGAGAATCTTACCCTGTAACCCAGCCTGGCTTCCATTCAGGCTCCTACTGCCTCAGCCTTCCCATATCTGAGATTACAGTAGCTCACTGCTAGGTTCATGTTAGAGCATCCGTAACTTGGCACTTAACAGTGACCCCTGATGCATCACTGTTACTAAGCCAAGTGTATCCACTGTTGGTGCAACATTGAATAGGTGATTACATTTCCTTCTTAAGATGGTTCTGGGGGCTGGTGATGTCTGTGTGGCCAGCTGTTCCTCTTGGTGTGGCCATGCTTAGCAAATTGGTTTTCTTTGCTTTTCACCATTAACTCCTTCATTGACATATTGAGGAAAGTCACCAAGCCAAGCTAGTCACTTGGCCTGAAAACTGTGGCTACATTACATATCATATTCCCACTCAGAGTGCATGAATAACTGTTCATCCCCATGAACCATTGTTGATTAGATTTCCTAGTTTTAGACATTCTAACAGATAATAGTCCTTCATTGTGGCTTTAGTTTGCATTTTCTTCACTAATTTGCTAATGATACTGGAGCCTCATGCTTGGTGTTTATTTGTTTCTGTCTTCTTTGGTAAATCACCTGTTCAGACATTCCCTCTACTTTTTACTGAGATGTTTGGTTTTTTTGAATTTTGTGATGTGTGTGTGTTGATAAGTGATATAAGTCAGAAAAGTTATTTCCCTCAAAAATGGATTTTTATTCACTTAGTTACTTTCAAAGACAGGAGTTCTTAATTTCAGCGAGAGCCGAGAAAACTTCATTTCCTAACATTGCCCTGGGGAAATAATCAATTTATGTTTGAAGTTATTTATTCTGGGATATTCACTGTGGGAAAAAGTGGAAGCACAGAAAAACTGGGGCAGCAGAATCTGCTTAAATAAATTATGCTGATCTCAGATGGGATGATTCCATTTTAAAGGATTGTGGTGCAAAAGTCTGTTGCTTTAGGTTTTTTATGATAGTGAGGGGGGAAGCACAGAGAAGTCCCAAGTTGTACACTAAGATGTTGACAACGATGATTACTGAGTAGTGAGATGATAACTACCACATATTTTGTGTTTCATTTAGAAGGTTATTTTGTCTAGAAGATAGGCAAATAACTACCCATTTGAAAAGAAAGGTATTTTAATTTAAATTCTTCCTAACCTCGATGATACATGTTCAGAGGCCACGGGAACAGCCACCAGTTTCCTGAGAGGGTGTTCCAGTCACACCTTGCACGTGTGCTGTTTGCTTTTAGCTACCTTGGTATTCACTTCCCAGCACTGATTTCTGGAAGCTCCTCCCTTATCATTTCTATCTGTTGGTCCTTCAAGTGACAGTGTGCTGTAGGCAAATGTATGAGGATTGATTATCCATCATCAGGAAAAGCAAGGATGGTTCACCGAGCTAGGATCTCACTAATGGATAGGGAGCCAGCTGCTTGGCGCGTGATATGCTCATGAACGCTAAACTTAGCCTAGTTAAGTCTGGTCAGTGCTACCAAGATGTCACCTGGCACTTCTCAGCCCTGTGTTTGACTGTTGGTGGTGTTGTTGTTACACAAAGGAGCTGTCCAAAAACCTCGAGCTGAGCACGAACAGTTTTCAGCGTCAGTTGCTTGCTGAAAGGAAAAGGGCATTTGAGGCTTACGATGAAAATAAACTTCTTCAAAAGGAGCTGCAGCGGCTCTATCACAAGTTAAAGGTAAGCATGTTCTTTTAGATCACACTGTTTCTCCAGTCATATGCATTACCTAGTATTGTTTTAAAAAAGCAGTCACTATTCATATTTGTTACTATGTAATTTACAAAATTCTAATATTGTATGTGTCACTTAGAAAGAAAAGCATTGTTAATGTAATTGCTGTAACAGAGTCAAATACTGTATATGCCAGTAGCAACAATTGCAAACGAAGTCAATTTTACAAAGTTCTGGAAGAGAACCATGGGAATGTGCACACTCCTGATCAGCATTCTTCACATGGCCCCAGGATGCTCGCTTTTAAACTTGACACCCCCTCATTCTGCTTCGAGGAAACCAACTCACATTAAACATGTCTTCATTTTATGGAGGTCATTGATGGGTTGAAATTTTGTTCAGAATTCTACAAAATTATGCACAGGCTTATATAGTTTTCTCTTTGATGCTCAGGTTCCATTATTTCCATATTGTGAAGATCTCTTGGGATGAACAACACAATCTAATTTTTAAGTCATTAATAACCCAAAATACATACTTAAGAATGGTTTTGCTTTTGTCCCTGGGGCCAAGCCTGGATCACAGATAGGCACTACTAGCTCTTTGGGGGAGGAGGTGGAGCTTGTGGTATTTGCTTCCCTCCCCCTCCTCCCTATCCCCTCTTTCTCTTTCCCTTCCCCATTCACCCTGTTCCTTTCCCTTTCTTCTTCCTTCCCCACTTCCCTGTCCTCTCCCTCCCACTCCTCCTAGTTTTCTAGTTACAATGGAGAACTGCCCTAGAGATATTTCAGTTTAATAAAGAAGGTATTGGTTATCACACTGAAGGTATTTGTTTCATTTCAAGCTAACTGTCTTCCTTTCTTGTATTGGGTTTGTTTTCAGGAAAAGGAGAGAGAGTTGGATATAAAAAACATATATGCTAATCGACTGCCGAAGTCCTCTGCAAAGAAAGACAAAGAAGTTATTCAAAGAAAAAATGGTATAGTAGGGTTACTGCTGAAACTGGAACTGTTAGTGATGATGGACTCTAAAGTAAAGAAAGTGAGGGAAGAGTATATGTGATGTCAGTTTTACAAATCAGCGTTGATAGCAATCACAGTCTTTCAACTTTTGCCTTTCTAAGGAGAAGTCATTAAAATCAGGTTGGGGGGAATGGAGAGAAGACAGGAGTGTGGGGGGTGAGAGTGCTTGCTGGTCTTCCAGAGCACCCACTGTAAGGTGGGTGGCTCTCAGTGACCTGCAACTCCAGCACCAGGAGATATGATGCCCTCTTCTGGGGCACACACATATCACACACATGGCACATATCACATGCAGAGACAATCTTTGCACGTAAGCAAAAACACAGAATTTACAAAATAAAAAAAAAATGCTTTATGCAACCTTTTAAAAAATATCTGTATGTTCCTGTGTTGAAGTATCCCAAATGTTGTGTTAGTACAGCTTTTATGTTATCATTAAATAAACTTAATTTTAATAAAAGGTTAAAACCTTATTATAATTTTGATAACATAAAATATATAACTATTTGCAGGTATTAGGTACCTGGCTTTAACGATTTTTCTCTTCACTGCTGCTGTTTCATCCATTCCTTCCACTTTCTAATATATTTTAAAGCAAATCCCAGATATCATTTCACTTTACTTATACTTTGTATTAATGTGCAGTTTTCATTTCTTAAACAAAAGTATAATCCTCACATGAATCAGAGAAATTTTAAAGCATTAACCTTTCAAAAGATTATTTGCATTTGTAGTATAATTGTCCTTAAATCACATAATTGCTAGTTAATCCTTCATGAACAAAGTATGCACTCTCATTTAGACGAATATTGCCAACTGAATATATACCACCAACATTGTTTAGTGGAGTTAGAAAACTTGTTTATGGTTTTCTTGGTAGTATCATGCCAGAGTGACTTTACAGACCTGTGTACAAAAGGAGTACAGACCACCGAAGACTTGGAGCTTGAAGAATTTTCCTTTGCATCACAGACGGTTCTGTGTTATGAGAACAAATGGGATGAACCAGATTATTTTTCTTCGGTGAGTTCAGCACGATTACTAAGAGCCAAACTCCAGGAAATCTGTTTCCATAAATGTGGTCAGGAGTTCCACACATACTTCCCACCCCTCGCTGGTCCTGTGTCCTCTGGAGAAGTGTGCTAGTTGCCTTTCTTGTTTCTGTAACCAAATATCTCATAAGATGCAGCTGAAGAAAGAAAGGGCTCCTTCCGGCTCTTGGTTTGAGAGGACGTCATCCACTGTGGGGAATGAGAGACAGCTAGTCATACTGCATCTAGTCAGGAAGCAGAGTTGAATGTGGGCACTAAGGTAGCTCTTGCCTTTTTCCCTTTCAATCCGAAGCCATTAGGGTAGGTCCACACACATTCATCGTGGGCCTTCCTCCTCAGTTTTTGTTTTTCTTTTAAGATGTATTTATTTATTTTATGTACGTGAGTACTCTATTTGCATGTATACCTTTCTACCAGAAGAGGGCATCAGATCCCACTATAGATGGTTGTGAGCCACCATGTGGTTGCCGGGAATTGAACTCTGAAGAGCTGCCACTGCCTTTAACCACTGAGCTATCTCTCCAGCTCCCTCCTCAGTTTTTAGGGATACACTCAGATGAGTATTTCCTAGACAACTTATTCTAAGCTGACAATAAAGATTGACTATTTTGGGGGCTAGCAGATAAGTTTATAACATTATTCTATTTAAATACTACATAATTATTAGTTAGAAGTTTAGACATAATGTATATTTGAAAGATCCAATGTGACTGTCAATGCCTGTGTTCTGCAACTCAACACCATCTTAGTGGCTAAAAAAAATGGGACATAAATACTTTTTTTTTGGGGGGTTAAAATATAAAAGTACACAAACAAAAGCTATCTTGCAGCTTATCCCATCACAATTTTACATAGGTCGTTGGTTTTATTTTCATTGTATTGATTGGTTCTGATATATCTTAAAAGTTTCTTTAAAAATGTAGCTCAATTAAGAAATTATCCTGTTTGAAACATTTTTCAGAACATGGTAACTTGACTTATTAAGTGAAGATTTGATTTAGTTTCTAACCTGGTAGTCACGTGTAATAGCTAGTCCACCCATATTTAAAGACTGTTTTCTCCCTTCTATGTGAATTTGCATTTTTGAAATAATAGTACCTGGAATACCAAGAGCAAAGCGAGCGTGAAACAACAACTATTCCAAATTCATCTTCGGAAAGAGAAGAAATCTTCAGTGAAGATCAGGAAAAATGCTCTAGCAAACAGGAGTCGGGGAAGTCTGAGAAGGGTAAGAGTTTGTGTAAGCTGTTAGTGAGCCGGAAGTGGTTGCAGGGATGAAGAGGGGGAGGCAGGTGCCGGGGGTGGTAAACCGGAGGAGTCAGAACAACTGAATGAAGCTATGAAAGAAAGAAAAGGAAGACTTATAGTTGCTACTGGGGCTTGGGGATTAGGAATCAACTAATTCCAGAGAATTTAGATGAAACAGTGTTTAATCAAAGAGGGAAACTATTCTTGTAACTAAATGAAGAGTTAGCCAAGGGAGCCCTTTGCTGTGTTGGCTTAGATCTCTGGGTCTTTGAGTGGCTGAAACACCAAAGTCCGTGATCTACAAGGCCCTGAGTATTCCTAAAATTTGTGTTTCACTTTTATTTGTAAACCTTTAATAACATTGCTTATAAGTTCAGAGAAACAGTTTGCATGGTTTAGATGATGGAAATCAAGTTCATTTCGGTCTGTATGGAATGTGCTGAAGGTGTAGGCACTGGAAGTCGCAGACTAACCTCCGTATCCCCTTAGTTCTATGGTAGCCTCATACAGAGAAATCTTTTGAGTTTGTTTGTTTTAAGCTGAAATTCATGGAACAGAAATTTGTGATCCAATTGTTGCTTCAAGTTGTTAATATGCATATTGGATGGGCATATTAGATGTGAAAGGCTGTTTGTATCACTTTTGGCCAGAGGCCAAGCAAGATGCTTTCATGGGTTAAGCCACAGAATGGGAAATTGTTATGGTCAGTCCATCTTATGGAACAACAAAAAGAGCAAAATAACAGAAGACCATGGCCTGGTCTCTTAGGCTATCTCCTTATATATGGGGTGATATGATAACAGAACGTATGCCATTTACTGAAATTATGAGATTTTAATATTTTTAATTCTTTTACTTCAAAATGATTTCAGAATTATAGGAAACTGTCAAGAATGGCCAAAACAAAACAAACCCTTTGAATGAATTCTGCACCTTATGTCTATATCCTTAAGAACTTGGCATGCATTTCCTCCAAGACTTTCTCTCACAGTTCTCCATCACGGGCCCCACCACGCTTCGGGAGCTCTAACTCTTAACACATTTAGCTCGTCTGTTGTCCATATTGTGATTTTTTTGGTAAACACAAGATTGTTCCTTGAAGCATTTTGTTCCCTCTGAACTTAATCTTAAATTGTGTGTAATTCTCACCTCTGGGGTCATTTTTACTGTAGAGTATTTTTGCTTATTCTTTATTTAGTCTATGCAATTCATATTTTTGATAAGTACATATCTTTTTTTAAGAAAATGTAGTGCTCTTCATTTGAGAGTTAACTGAAATTTTCTCTTGATTTGAGTCAGTGCATTTGCTGTTTGAGTTCTGTGTGAGGGATGCTTTCTCAGGACAGCCAAGAATTAATGTTAAGTTCTTTCTGTCTCACCACCCACCATGAATTGTACAGTACTCCACGGAAAATCTTACTACTGCTACACTGAAGAGCAGAGTGTCACGTGTGTGGCTCTTAAGTGCAATCCACATTAATTACTTTCAAATCCAGAATGTCAAGTGCGGAAACAAAATGTTAAGATGTCCATTGTACGACTTTTTGCAAAAGATGGTAGCTTCGTTTTCCTATTTAGAAATACTTATGCTGTAACATTCCTGATATTAAATTTTGTTTCCTACAGAGTCGGAAAAAGAAGAACTTGATAAGGCGCAAAGTAATAAGGAGACATCTTTGGTGGTTCGAACAGAGAAACCAGCGTTGGAAGCTGGAAAGTTCCACGCGCAAACACATCAAACTCAAAATGCAAAACAACGGGAAGACGAGGCAGAAAGACTCAAAACAGAAATGCTTCTCGCCAAATTGAACGAAATCAACAGAGAACTCCAAGACCCTCAGAACCTCAAACGGCCCCCTTTGCCATTGCTCCCCAACTTTGAATCAAAGCAGCATTCTCCAGACAGAAGCTCCAAACCATCCACACACTCTGAGTCTTCAGACAGATCCTCGAGTGGACAACATTCGTCAGACGTGAGCTCTTCAACTGCCAGAGGAGAAGGTCGGAGTCCGGCACCCATTCGAAGCCCAGGAACCACTCAGAGTCCAGTCCCTCCAGATGAGTTTTCATTTGGTAGCTATGTGCCTTCGTTTGCAAAAACGTCAGGGAAGTCAAATACACTTAGCCAAAAAAGCAGCTTTTTAGATTTCCAGAGCAGCAGTTTGGAGAGCCTGAGTAAAGACAGTACAGATTCTATTTCGAGAAAAGAGAAAAAAGCGAGCCTGATGGAGGAGCTGTTTGGTACCGGTAGCAGCACCAGCACCAGCAGCACCACCATTTCCTCCTCCAAGAGCGGCGACCCTCATTTTCTGACTGCCGGCAGAGGAGACTTGGACCCTCTTAATTTCCCCTCTGGGGATAAATGCGGCAGAGTTCGGGAGCCTGATGATGAAGATGAAGACTTTTTCCTCGGTGAAGGAAGAAGCTTTAATCCCAACAGACAGCGGCTGAAGCACGCGAGCAATAAGCCATCGGTGACAGCTGTTGACTCTGTTGATGAGGACATTGAAGAGGTTACACTCAGATGACTGACTGGAGCACACAGAGTATATATATTTATTTTTTAAATTGTAAATATTAAAATATTTTAATACAGTATTTATTATAAAAATTTAAATTTTTAATGGTAAAATGGCCTTATTAGGGAGTCATTTTTAGCAGCTAAACATGGCACAATTAAACAAATAGTGACATACCACAAAGCCACGTTGCTAAGAATGCTTTTTTTTGTTTTGTTTTGAAATGAACCAAGAGGAGAGTTGTTCCTTACTTTTTCTATTTTTACAGCTGGTCTCACTTACTGAGCTGGCCTTGTAGGAAGTTTTACTTCACTAAAGTCTTGCTCACTTCCTACTTTCACCTGTTTATTTTTTGGTCAGATCTCACTGAGCCCAAGTATTGTCTTTCCACTGATGGTTAAATGGAAATTAGGGGTCTCTAGTGAAGGCCCCAGGTAGCATTGAGCAGTGGGACTTAGCAGCTGTGCCCTTGTCTGAGGTGACAAAGCCAAGCTAATGAGTGGTGGTGGTGGCAACAACATCGGGACTACCTCTGAAATACCCCCCTCCCCCCAAGTATTTGGGGTATTTACTAAGGTGCATACTGGGGCATTACTCCTGAGGAGTACATCCTCCTCAGTTACAGTCCTGAAATCACTCACTGCTGCTCTGTGGGCACTTTCGGGGGGCACGGAAGACATTTTTGCCTTAGGTGATGCCCCTCTGTGTGGCTCCAGGAGGCTTGGGCATAGTGTCATTCCTCTCTTTCTGTACACTCTGTATTCTGGTGGAAGATTCCCTACCAAATACAGGAAGGAGAAGAAATGTCAGCCCAGCACAGAATGATTTTCAACTCAATTATGTTTCCAGAGTCCTAGTTTTAGAAATTTTAATACAAACCCAGGAGACAGAAGTGTGATAAGAAGACTTACAGACAGAAGTCCTGTAAGTCTTGGGCTTACAGGACTGATGTAGAAGCAACCATGGATAGAGGTGTTTAGAATCGGGGCACCTGCCATGCCGAAGAGACTCAGTAGTTTTCTGTAGAAAGGCACAGTTTCCTTCCACGTAGTTCAAGACAGATGCAGAGGCAGGTTCTGGGGAGGCCTGGTCTGCTGAAGCAGGGACAGATCAGCCCAGGAGAGACGCTGTGTGTAACGGAATGATTTGTGATACAGTTCTTGATAAAACATTATGTAATGTTAATTTTGTTCGTGGCTGTAAGTTTTCTACTGATGTATTCTAATTTCAAGGTTTTTAAAAAACGTTTCCAGAAAAAAAATTATTCATTACATTAATTAGATTTATGCCTTTTTCTACCTGAAAGTTTGTTTAACCCAATGAGCAAGGAATTACTAAAATTAAAACAAATTAAGTTAAAAGCATGATGGTTAGTATTAAAATTGGATGTTACAGGGTATAGAACTTAGAGAGCAAATCAGTTTTTTTTCTAAATGTCCAGTTAAATTTATTTGTACTCAGGATTCTTACTAATAAAAATTTAAAGCACACCGTGACTCTGCTTGAATCATCTTTTGTATTCAGGAGACATGCAGTGGAAGCAGGATCTGGAAGGTTCTTACCTCGTCATTCGCCTTTCTTTTGTTTGGCAGTTTCAGTTGAAGCACAGGAATTTGTACTAACTCAGGGTAGACAGTGTGGCAGTCTTACCAGATAATTATGGTTCCAATTAATCTTTTCTACCTTAATGGCTGTTACAATGGCACATGTTTCACATGGTAATAAAGAGAAGGTGCAAGGCAGGGAGGATTAAATTGAATCGTAAACACCAGCGTGTTTGCTGACTAACCCGGTATTTCTTGACCGTCTTCATTTCCTATTCCAGGCTGGTGTCCCTGGCTGGTTAGGACACAGGGAAGGGAAATGTGCACCCTAGTAATGGCGCAAATGCTGTAGAAATAAAGAAATAGCAGTCACTTGGCAACAGCGCATACCCATAAGGCCTTTTTCTCAGCTTCACAATACGTACCCTTCTCACATTCAAGTCTGCTTTTAAAGAAATCAATCAAAAGTGCTCTCCTCTCTCTCACTGAGGGTGCCCTGCCTGTATGAGATGGGTAGAGAGGGTGGAGAATCATCCCACAGGTACTGCCCTTGTATGACTCCTTGTGTCTTTGGACTATGCCTTCCTCAGCTCCTAATGGTCTTGCATGCTCTTTATGATGGGTGTAAGTGAGTAAATTCCTGAGGTTGCTGCTCTGCCAAGTGCCCAGCACATCATAGGCACTTGACAATAGCTGCTGTTATGATAGCTAATTATGAGTTTCGTAGAATAGTTGAAAAAGTGGAACAAAGATGTATGCATGCACCTGCATGTGCAAACACACACACACACACACACACACACACACACACACACGCACGCACGCACGCACGCACGCACGCACGCACGCACGCACGCACACACACACAGTGGGAATACAGGGGTAAGCAGACAAAGCTTCTAAGCTCCCAGTTATAGACCATCAATACTAAAGATACTGTGTCTTTTTAGTACTACAAGCTCTTCTGCAGAACAGCAGAAAAAGAACTAGTGAAGGATTTTCTCAAGACAGGTTTTGTGACATGAGGCAAGGGGCATGCCTCACAGCAATTGAAAGTCTGGATAATCCTGGCCTATGGTTGCATGATCTAATTCACACCCCACTTCTGCCACAGTGTATGTCTGGATAAGCCAGGAAACCTCTGTATTTCCTTTGCCTCTCTGCAGAACAGTGCTACTGAGAAACCCTACCTTGTGGGACTTACACATGTTCAGTGCATTGATACACACAAAGGCATACTTAGAGCCAGGGACACTCACATCTTCCCTACTTTGTTGTTGTGGAAAAGGAACTAAGAAAAGTGGAGGGCATATTTTTTAAATGCCAGAGATGGCAGATGCTGCTTTTGTGTCCTTTGGCTTGTTTATTCTTCACAGAGGTTTTTCCTGAGTTGCTGGTATTTTATCAATCATTGCTCCTTTTATAGAATCAAGGCAAATATAACACATAACACATGTTACAGCCTATATCCAGATTTCAAAGGTGGAATATTGCACTCAATAGTCACAGCGTAAGAAACCAAACCAAACCAAACCAAAAACCAGTTGTGCATCAATGTGTCGGTAGTCCACAAAAATAGCTCACACAAAATACATTATTTTGCTGTCTATTGTTTTCAGTAAGAAGACTAACTTGGTAACTCCAAGCCTACATGATCCCTTCAAGCTGGCACTATCTCCCTAAAACTCTTACAGACTGTCATGAGTGTCACTGGCCCATGTATGCTGTGATATGCCTGTGCTCTATGCTGGTTGCCTTGTGCACGGAGGAGTGAACTCCGTGCTCTTACTCTGGTCAGAAAAGGTCAGGGTTTCTGTGCCATAAGGAAGACATGGATCCACTGGCTGCTGGGGAAAGAGTTTGTTTGCTTTATGAGAGTGTGGTCTCCAGTGGGTTGATTCTGATCCAGTGGTTGGCCCAACCCAGCACCCATGAGTATGTGGGCTGGAGTTGATAATTTTTAGAAATGAAGTTGGGAGGGGTGGATCTGACAGGTCTTGGGGGGGAGTGGAAGCGTGGATGTGACCAAAATACATTGTATGTGGGTATTCTCAAAGGAGAAAAAATAAGCCTTTCATTTAAAAATTACAATAGTTTATCTCTGACATGTGCCTCTACATACATGAATATATTCAACCTGCTCCTAACACAATAAAAATTAGAAATCAGTCAAAACAGAATAGAAAAACATTTGGCTTTGAGGTCAGGAAATAGGTTAGACTTGAGTGCTTATAAATTATAGTTTTCATTAAATAATTTGTCTTTAAGTTCCCCATATGTGAAATGGGACTGATCACATCTTTACACGCTCATGGGAATCAACTGAAGTTGTCTGTTTTTAGGAGAAGAAAACAGCAGAATGAAGCATATCATAAGAGGGGCAGTATTGTCTGCTCTGTACTTGAGATGCATGCTTGAGCTGGGGAGATGACTAAAGGATAAAGCAAAGTGGCTGTCTGCCTGTCGTCTCTGTGCTCAGGAGGAGAGAAGGGACCTCTGGGGCAAGCTAACTAGACAACCAAGTCAAATGGATGAGCTCAGGTTTGGGGAAAGACCTTGCCTCATTAGTTAAGACAGACAATGGTCAAGGAAGACACCTTATGTCAACCTGTGACTTACACACACACACACACACACACACACACACACACACACACACACACACACACACGGGGGAGGGGGCGGTATGTGGCTGCACAGTAAACATGAATGTATGCACATACTATGCTCATACACAAACGTCTCCATCCAAATATTTTTTTTGAAAAAGTAGAGATTTGTCAATATGAACATTTAAAAAACTAGCTGTGTTCTTGGCCATCTTCAACTGAAGTGACGACTCCTCCTTGACTCCTGCAGAAGCTGCAGTCCTCTAGAGAAGGCATTTGCTGTTTCTGTGAGGGAGCAGCTGGTGGCTGGGAGAAGCAAGTTTTCACAGAGCTTTGCTTCACTACTGAACTCATGGAGAAACGAGGAGCCAAGACTCTTGTGCTCTCTTGAGTACAAAGTTTCTAGAGGAAGCATCCCCCACTCCCCCAGCAGTGTTGGGTGTCCCTGAATTCCAGGACTGAAGGGAACTGTGTCTTCACCGTTACTTCCTGTGCAGGAGGAATTGATTCTGGCTAGGTACACTTTTCATACAACCTTATTTAACAGGACATTGTTAATGTCCGATTTTTACCCTGATACAGAGAATTGTATACAGATAGCCACAGATGCTGTCTTTCCTAGACACATTCATATTTTTCCTTCTTTAGAATTTTTTCTAAAAATCTTAATTAGCTTCTTTATGAGCCTCTAATCAATGTGATGTGGGTAATATTTACACTCCTAAACAGTTTTGGGGGAGAGGGGCGTCTCCTTCAAATAATGAGTATAAACCGGTATGCTACTTAAATAACTTCCAAAACAGATGTACAATCAATAAAGCCCAGAAGCACCAACAGGAAAACAGTGGTATATTCCTGCCTCCCACAACTGCTGCAGCACTTAGAAGCTAGGTGAGGATGCCTGGGGTAGAAAGTTTCCAAACCTACCGTGTAGAGATGACATCAGAGCTCATCTGTATTTCAATGAGCCCCCCAGGGCATCCTGATACAGCTGGAGTAGGGAAGGCAAAGGGTAATGCCTTTCATGTGTAGGAATGGCCGTAGGTTTTGCAGACTCAAATCCAGTCCTTGGAGTTTGTAATGCCAGTGTAGAGAGGATATGTGGACTCTACACCTGCTGCTGCATGTTCCCTAGAAATGGTTTTGGAGTGTGTGTGTGTGTGTGTGTGTGTGTGTGTGTGTGTGTGGTCATGGGTGTAGATAAGAGCACACATGCTAATAAAATACGTAGGGTAATGGTCCTGGCTTTTCTACTTTGAGACATACACAGTCCCTTTGCAGTGGTTAGCCACACTAGCTGGCCTGGTAGCTATGGGAGATTCCTCTGTCTCTATCTCCCATAGGATTACAGATATTCCCATTATGTCAGAAAATTTGAACTAGTTAAACAAACAAAAAAAAAAAAAAGGAAGAAAAAAAGACTGTGTTAAAACAACAAATGTCAGAACCTGGGCAGTTCATATGACATTTCTCTATGACCCTCTGATTTGCAGAAAATAATTTGAAAATGTACAGTATTCCCTCAAAAAGGACTACTCAATGGCTCAAGTTTGACATTCTATGTGAACATAGTTACTTTAGCAACTGGTCTCTTAAAAATTTTTTTGAAAGTTTAGAAAACTGGTATGTAAGTGTGAGTATATTTGTGTGTGTGTGTGTGTGTGTGTGCCCCTGTGTCTTTGTGTATTTGTGTGTTTTTGATGATCCAACAAAAAACTTGAATGAGACTTAATAAATGCTAAAATTACCTAAAGGATTAGTCTCCGTGCAGGAGGTGGTTTAAGTAAAAGGAAAATAGAGTTAAGTACTTGAACTCTTGTGCATTCTGTGGCACCTATGAATCTGTGTGTCATTTATGGTCAACATCCATTGGGTTTTTATAAGTTGGGATTTTGTTTGCAATGCAAATCTCCATATCTTCCATTGGCTTCTTAGCTTACTACAAAGGCAAACAAACAAACAAACAATTTCATCTTAAACAGACCTGTTTTGTGAAATTTGTTTCCATGGGATTTGTTATTGCACCAAATAAGGAACTGTAGAAAACAAACAAACAAACAAAAAACTACTGACAATGGAGGTCATGTAGTCCTGGTGACAGTGGAAGTAACTATTGTCAGTGATTCCTGATGTGTCCCAAGTATTTTCTCCCAAGCATAAGGCTCCAGAAAATGTGTATTGGGCTGGCCAATGAAATCGTAATACAGTTACAAGTTTTGAACATACTTCTGAACTGTGGTTACCCCAGTCCAATTTTTGTCTGAGAACTAGCAGTCTCTTAAGTAATGAATACATTGGTTCTGGTCCCGCCACTGGACCCAGAACTTTGTTCCCCTCTTCTATTCTGTGAGCTCGGAAGCACATTCTAGTAACCTCACTGACTTTTGCCATTCTCCTCTTCCCCTGCCATTCTCATTGCAGCTGCAGCTGAGTTTCTGTTTCTCTTTTTAAGTATCCTTTTGATTAACTAGGAAGTTTGATGGAGTCCAGCAGCATAATTAAATCCATGAGCAGTGTCAGTTGGGTGTTCCTTAGCTGCAGGCATGTTGCTAGGATACTCTTAAAGACACAATTCTCTTGATTAACTGCACAAGCTAGATTGCCCAAGTAGCATTTTTATCATTCATAGAAATACAGGTCAGGTTGCATTTAAATTTATAGCAAGATGAGTGCTATCCAACTCTGAATGCTTTTAGCATCACAGAAATGTATTTAGGTATGTGCACAAAGAATGTGTTTGGAATAATAATTTAGCGGTTGAGAATTCGTCATCTATTTTAGGGAGAGCTCAGTGTCCACGGATTTGAAGCTGAAAGAATTCTGCATTTCAATCACCGTCAGGAGACACCATCTCCATTGTGTGTGGAGCTCTGCTGAAATCCCACTGTGGTTGTTATGAGTGTTACTGTTTACCGGTGTATTTGATTCCAAAATTTCCTACAAATTGCAATCATGGTCCCTGGCTGATTTAGTAAAATAAAATCAAGAAGCTTAAAAAGAAAGACAGAAATTCCTCTATTGTAATTGATTTCATATGGGCAGTTGTTTTTTGAGGTTAAGGACTGGCAAATAGTTTTATTTGGGTAGTGCTTTAACAATTACCTTATGGCTACTAAATATGAAAATGTCAGTGTCTGTGTCTATTCTCTGCCTATGATGCACTCGTTAATTTGTTTATTCATTTAACAAGTGCTTTCAGGGCTTCTGTTGTATATATTGCAATTGCTAGAAGCCATAAGAAGAGTTTTGAATGTCAATATGACATCGATTTTCATTTTGGAACCATCAGTTCCATACTAATGCAGAAGACGAATTGCACAATTCAGGAATTGCAGATAAGGCATAATGAAAGAGTCCGTGGGAATCCACTCCAGAAATGAATAGTAGAGTTATTTATGAGACAGCATTGGCAGCTCTTGGTAATCAATTGGATGAGGAAGAAAGAACCCTGCAGTAACTAAGGAGGTTATAGTGGCAGGAGCTGCCGCAAGGACTATAAGAAGAACAGGTGTGAGAGGAAGTGATAAGTGGTTTCATTTTAATTCAACTTTTTGTCCACTTTGTTTGAGTCAGTCAAGATTGTTTACATGGCTGCTGCTGGCCTTGAGCTCTTGACCCTCTTCCCCTGACTCTTCTTGTGCTGAGATCATAGGCATGCATCGCTATGCCTGGCTTCTAGCTCTTTCTTAAATGTGTGGAGTTGTTGAATGTGCATACAAACACATGAGAGAGCCGACAGAAGGCAAGTCTATAGCAAAGATGTTGATTTAGGGCTTTGTTACACACGGATGGCATTTATTGTCAGGGATCTACATAAGGTTATTTAGTGTGCAAAACACATGAGTTGAAACAGGGTTGTAACAAACACTGAAATCATTCTATTCACTAGCTTCTACCTTTAAAACGGTTTCCTTAAAAATAATTTCTCATTTTTACTCAAAGTTTCAAAAATATCTGAATTATACAGTTAATGAAGTCACACACACACCCACACACACACACACACACACACACACACACACACACATACACACACACCCATCTTCCCATCTATTATTAGGAGAGGAGCTTGATTTTTGAAGATTTTAGGAAGAAAGAGCATTCTTTTATTCTGGAAAGGCTTTAATCACTAATTGCTTGCCTCTGTTAAATTGAAGACAATTGAAATAGTTTCTCTGTAGATACTGCAGCAGCCAGCCATTGACAGGCAAATAAGATGATGTCAACCTGTAGTTTTACCAGCCTATTTGAAGAACTGTTCTGAGCATCCATGTCTGTTTATTTTCTGACTTTGTGACTTGCTCTGAATATCCTCTTCTTCTCATGTCAACACCACAGACCTCACTATTTCACCCTCTTGAAAAAAACCTATGCCAAGGTAGCATAGTCCATGGTCCCTATGTTAAGATGACAGAGAAAGACATACAATAATTTCTTGTTCTTCTCCACAGTTCCCAACCTGAGTCACAAACGCCCCATCTATAACTAAAGTCTTCCTGTTGATTTTCTAAGAATCCTCCCATAACATATGCAAATGAAAGCAATATGGACTTTTTTCTTTACTAAATAAATAAAAGAGTGTGTTTTGTACATTGTGATAAACCCAGGCTTATTTCCACTCAGTCTCTTCCTGAGTGTGGTGGTTGGGCTCATGTGTCTAACGGACTGACTCATTTATTTAACCAAACTCTGATTTTTTTTAAATGTATTGTTTGAGAATTCCATACATGCTTATAGTGTATTTTAATCAACCTCTCCTTCTCTCCCTTTTAAGTTCTCCTCTGGCTCCCATAACTGCTTTTTCCTAATGTGATGGAGGATGCCATGTGAAGATGGAGAAAGACTACCCTTATATCCACAAGCCACGGGATCCTTAGAACTGCTAGGATCACCATGAGCAAGACAGGAGCCCAAGCAGATGCTTTTCAGGGCCCCCGAGAGCATGTGACCATGCCAACACCTTGATTAAAACTTCTATCTTCACAACTATAAGGACATACCTTTCTGTTGTCCTAAAGCCACCTCAGTTACAGAAGTTTGCTGAGGCAGCCCCAGGAAACCAATCCAAAGAGCGTTTCCTATCATTACACAGACAGCATCTTCATTTTAAAAAATAACATCATGGCACTATATATATATATATATATATCTCCAGGGCTAATTGCTAGTTCTCTCTGGTTGGGTATTTGTGCTGCTATTATGGATGATACTTCACCACTTGGCTATGCGCACCAGCCTCATGCTTGTCTGTGGGTCAGATTCCCAGGAGTGGAACGATCAGTCAGAGGGACATCACTGGTTAACAGTTAGAACAATACCGCCCTCTAGGATTGTATGCTGTCTGCACAACCATTGGCTTATGTTGTCTTTCTAATGGACATTTCAATACTGTGTGGAAACTTGTATTTTCCTGGCTCCAACTGAGATGGTGGTTTTTAATTTATTTTTTCTGATACGGTGTTTAAACACCATTCATTTCCCAAATACCTGTTCAATGCCTGTTCAAATCCTTTCTGTTATCAGGTTATTGATCTCTCCTGTGTGTTATGACTTAGGAGACCCCCATTACCCCAATTTGAGACTGGAAAGATGGCTCAAAAGTCAAGAACTATGCTGTGATCACAGAGAATTAGCACCCACATTGGAGGGCATGCAATCAACTGTAACTTCAGTTCCATGGCACCCAGTTCCTCCTCCTGGCCTCTGCAGGCACTGCACGCAAGGAGTGTACAAACATACATGCAGGAAAAACAATCATAGACATAAAGACACAAAACCCAATATATAAATAAATGTAAATGCAATCAAATAAGAAAATCCCTCTGTTTATTCTCGTCTTTTGACTTTGCCTTTCCCTCATCATGTATCCTTTTAAAAGTTTTATCTGTAATTCATTTTTAATCATTCTAGAATCAAAAGAATTCTGCTTCACATTCTATAGAATTTATTCTCACATGCTGGGATGACACAGCTTTAACTGATTTTTTCCTAAATGGCTCTCAAACTGTGCTGACACCATTTCTTTAAAGTCCATTTGAGAGTTTGGCTTGCTCTTAAGTTCAAAGTTCAATTCCTAGCTTAACAACAACAACAACAACAACAACAAGGTCAAATTTAGGAGCTAGATTTGAAATCCCAACTTTTAAAGTATAATATTTATTAGTTATTTGAAAATTTCAACATTGCATTTTGAAATTCCATCTTGATAACATACTAAATTATTAAACCCAATACTAAATTGTCATATACAATAGGCCTGTTTCCGGTTCTCTTTATATGCCTATTCACATGCCAGTTATTATTACCCTGTTGTTATTGGAAACCATGAAATTTATTAATTTATTTTAATGAGTCTTTCACCGTTTACACAAACATTTTGTGTTTTACGGACTTGAAGGTTTGTTTTGGTTTTTAAAACAGTCTTTATTTGGGGCTCAGATTGGTCCAGAACTTGTAATCCTAATGTCTCCATCTCCCAAGTGCTGGTATTACAGGCATGCACCCCCATGCCTGGCAATGACTTAGCTTTTCCCTCCTCATTTGGGGCTTAAACTTAGGCCCTTGTACATGCTGGGCAGACAATCAGACTAATTTACATCCCAGGCTTAGAAAAAAATGTTTAGCTTAAAAAAAAAAACTTGGGGGATATTTTTGAATCTTAATTAAAAATGTGTGTGTGTGTGTGTGTGTGTGTGTGTGTGTGTGTGTGATCTTCGTAGCATGTCTGTGCACCACATGCAGTGTCCATGGAGGCCAGAAGAGGGTGTCTGATACCCTGGAACTGGAGTTGCAGTGGATTGTGAGCCACCATGTGGGTGCTCCCAATGAAACCCAGATCATCTGGAAGAGCAGCCAGTGCTCTTAACTGCTCATCTATCTTTCCAGCCCCTGGGATATTTTTATTAAAGCAATATTGATACTTCTGCAATGTCACCCTGTGTATGTGCAACTATGGTCCATGTTCTGTTTAGTTCTTCTATAAACTTCAATGGTGCTTTAAGGTTTTGTTGGATTCGTTTTGCATAGTCTTTATATATTTCTTAGTAAGTTTATTCTCAGTGTGGCTGAGGTTGGGTCCCAGGGCTCTACCACTGAGCTATATTCCCAGGCCCATTTTTGTTTTCACTGCTGCTGAAACATATCATTTTCTTCCATAGCTGACGGGGGAAGTCCTTCTGTGTATATGTTTATTTTCTTGGTTGATAAATAAAGCACTGTTGGCCAATAGGGAAGCAAGATAGGTGGGACTAGGAGTTGAGGAGGATTCTGGGAAATGTAGTAAAGAATGAGGAGTTGCCATGTGATCTCAGGAAGAGAGGATGCATGAGGCTGGTGTCCTCGGTAAGATCAGTCCTTGTAAAACTATATAGGTTAGTAGTTATGGGTTAATAATTAAGAAACCATAGCCAATAAGACTTAAATCCTGTAACTCTTAGTAGTTTTGGCATTTCTTCAGTCTGAATTGTGATCTGGAATTTACAGATTCCACTCTGAACTCCAAGTGAATAAAAATTCACAATTTCCTTTTATGAACCAACAGTTATGCATTTCTTATATTTACAAATTATGAATTTATTTTAAAAAAGAGAAAGAAACCATAGCCAAAGGCCAACAGTTTTATAATTAATATAGTGTCTTGTGTGTTATTCTGGTTGACTTGACACTGGGACCAGGCTGGCGGGAAGAGTTATCATAACACATAGTATCTTTTCTATGACTACTATTTATATATGTAAAAACTTAATTTTTGAGGTTTGGGGCATATAAACATTTTGATAATGATAATTCTAACACCTCATTCCCATATAGCATCACTTTCGCTTTTCTGGTGACTGCATTAGTTTCTTCCTCCAGCAACTTGAAACAATCCTGTCTGAAACCGAATCATGCGTAGGTTAGGGGTGCATGCATTGTTTTCTCTTTAAATATGGCTCTGATTTGGGGGCTGAGAGATTTAATTTTCCTCATTTTATAAAAGTACATAAATCTTCTCATTTTACCTAAGAATTTTTAAGAGCAGTTTTCCAGTTGTTTTTCAAGTGGTTGTTTTTTTTTTTTTTTTTTTGGTGGCTAGCAATACAATTATGTACTTGTTCACTTAGGACTAATGTGGTGGATTGTATTAATAAGAGATGTTTCCATTTCTGTTGTAGCCGCTGTAATTTTTACTTTATACAATATGCTGAAGTGTTATTTGATGCATAAAAGATTTATAATTGCATCCTCACTGTGAATTGGGCCATTAGCTTTAAGAACATCTTTATTTTTATGGATCATTTATGCTTTGAGGGTTGAATTTCACCTTTCCTATTAAGATCTTGATCCTGCTTTTGTTGTCGAGTACATTTGTATCCCATTTATTTTTAGCCTTGTTTTGTGATCCAGCCTCAAAACCACTTTCAATGTATAAATTAAGTTACTTGACATTTACGCTATTCAGGTAAGTTTGATTTTTGTTCTATACTGTTGTTTTATGTACTCTGGTGTCAGCAGTTTAGAAAAATATTTTTTCATTATGTGGAATTTTCTAAGCATATATACATATAATTATATATATATAATCTTTTGCTATTAAGAAAGGTTTACTTTTTTTCAGTGTCTAATGCCCTTTTCCTCTGTTCCTTTGGATGGTGTCTATATAGTTCCATAACCAGGGTGTTAACAATTACCATGATTCTTTTCCCTGTGCAATCTTCACCCACAAAAGACTTTGGTTGGCATTATCTGTCTTATTCTTTGTGTTATTAAATATTATTATGTTTCTGCTCCTTGGTTCATCAACTTTAAATGATGTCTTTCAACTTTAAACTTCATAGATGAGGCTGTGAATTTCTTCTTTTCCCAGCTGTATTTATTTTATAATGTCTGTGCAATCAGAGCATAAAACCATTTGCATTCTCTCTGACACCCTGCTCTGCATTGGTGCTGCTCTTCAGGTTCAGAAAGCTAGCCTTCTGCAGCAATGTCCACTGTCCTCTTTCAATTACTGAAAATTTCTCCACACTAGGGTCCTCATTGCCATTTGACTCCAGAATTAATCTCTAGACAGATGCAGAGGGTCAGCTTTCTAGGACTTAATTGATGTTTCCGGAACATAGAAAAAGTGAGCTCCATACAAGACCTTGTGGAAGGGCTTCCATCAAGAATGGATGAGAGCTCCAACACGCATTGGTGAATTGATATTCGTTGGGATTACATGGTTCTTGGTGTCATGGGGATACTCTAAAGACTGTATTAAATGTTTCTTGGCATTGTCAAAGGAAAGTATTCTCTCCCTTTCTTGCTCTTCTAGGATGAAGGTGTGTGAGCACTGAGTACAATTCACCACTCAGGTGAGAGCTGCTACCTACAGAAACAGACTGTAGTCTACATGGAAGGACATGCCGCAGAGAAGGCGGCTTGGGTCAGGCAAAAAGAAGGGGATGTAAGATGGTATTCAAGAAGCATCGGATGCAGTATAACCCCTGAAACTCTGGTTTAAATTCTGTCTTTGACTAGAGGGTTAGAGTTATTTGATATTTCTGATCAATTTTAACTTTTAGTTTACTATTTTGTACATTGCTAATTTTCTATTTTATTTTCACTAATATATATATATATACATATATATATTATATATGACAGAATTGTCACTTTGAGGAATTTATAGATTATAATTTAAGGCTTAACATATCCTCAAAAATTACAGGTTTTCCATAAATACATGTGACTTATTAGCAGAGCACAAGTTTCAATGTTATTAAATTATTGTTTCTCAAATCCTCTATATTCAGTTCTCTTCTTTGTACATAGCTCTGGCTGAAACTTACTACATAAACAAGTGGTTCTCAACCTTCCTAATGCTGGGATCCTTTAATACAGTTCCTCATGTTGTGGTGACCCCAGCCACAAAATTATTTTCATTGCTACTTAATAACTGTAAATTTGTTACCATTATGAATCATAATGTGTTTGTGTTTTCTGATGGTCTTAAGTGACCACTGTGAAAAGGCCATTCCACCCCCCAAAGGGTAGGTTCTGACCCACTTGTTGAGAACTGCTGACTTAAGCCAGGCTGCCTCAAACTCATGCACCTGCCTCTGCCTCCCAAGTTCTATAATCGAAGCCATGCACCACTACAACTGACCAGTCTCTTTTATAATGTGATTTTTTGGTCAATTTCTTCTTATATATTGCTTTAATGTATTTTCACTAAAGCTAGTGGCTCCTGTTTTGGAGTCTGTAGAGTGTTACCTTCAGCTTTTTCCTTTTCAACTCATGAACCATTTGAGAAAGATACGCAGACATCAGACTGGGATGAAATACCAGCTTTACTGCATACAAACCTCGATTAGAAGCTGCCATCTGGATTTCCAGTTAAGACAGACTTTCTACTGTTCACCCACATTAACTAGTCATGAGTGGATAACTGGCTGGGCAGATGCCCTGGCCCCGGGATTTCTAAATAATGGGAGTAGAGCAACAACAAGGTGGGAAGCCCATGCTACCAAAGATAATCGAAGCCAGAGCCATGAGCATGCTATTTTACTGGCCATTCAAGGAGCATGGGTGACAAGGGCATCATTCAAACCAAGGCACTAATGGTATTACTTGGTGGCATGCACAGAACTCCTTTTTTTCTAGTAGGTTGCTCAAAGAGTGTGGCAGAGGAGTAATCCATGATGGTGCAGTAATATTTGGATGACTACTGATCTTGAGGAAAGGCATGGCCATGAGAACAAACACAGCAGTTCTGAAGGCTGTGCCAGGAACTTCCTGGTGGAGGGGTTCTACTTGCCATGACTGTGTAAATTTTTACCAACATAAAAACTTCCCATTTGCTTTAGTACAGGCAGTCTGGTTTTCATTTCTCTTCTATTTTTGTGCATCCCTTGATTTATACTTTATGTAAGATTTTTTTTATTTTGGATAGACTCCTATAAAGAGAATATACTGTATTTGTTCAAAATCCAGGGACTGGGTGATGGTGGTGCATGCCTTTATTCCCAACACTTGGAAGGAAGATCTCTGAGTTTGAGGCCAGCATGTTCTATAGAGTGAGTTCCATGATAGCCAAAGCTACACAGAGAAACCCTGTCTCAAAACAAAACAAAACAAAACAAATAATCCAGTATAATCCAGTTCTTATTTTTCTTTTTCACACAGTTTTTATTTATGACTTTTGCTGAACAATAGCCACTAGTTTCTCTATTTATTGCCATTGCTGTTTGGGTTTTCTTCTTGCTCATGATTTGGAAACTATTAATTTGATACTTTTCACCCATTGTGCGTGCGTGCGTGCGTGCGTGCGTGCGTGCGTGCGTGCGTGTGTGTGTGTGTGTGTGTGTGTGTGTGTGTAAACATTTGGAGCTGGAAGCCAAGCTGCACTGTCATCTTCAGAAATACTGTCTACCTCCTCTCATTGGCATGGATTTCACCAGTGCAGCAAGCTGGACAGTGAACTCCAGGATTCCTCCTGTCTCCACTTTCCCAGAGCTGGGACGTCAAGTATGCACCACCTTGCCTGGTGTTTTTATGTAGGTTCTAGGAGCCAGACTCTCATGCTTGCAACCCAAGCATTTTTACCAACTGAACCATCTCTCCAGCCCAAAATATTACAGAATTTTAAATTCATTTTACTGTATTTTATCTTTCAAGACTTTTTGCCAATTATCCATGAATCTAATAAATAACTATATTAGCAACTAGACTTAAGTTAAACTGTGTGTGTGTGTGTGTGTGTGTGTGTGTGTGTGTGTGTGTGTGTGGTGCCCAATGTGGCACCCAAGTGTTGGGCAAGAATTTCCACATAAAACCTGATAAAAGTTTAAAAAGGGCTCTGAATACACAGAAACAGAACCACTTTGTGCTTCCTAGCCACACAGTCTCATGAAGCCCATGGTGCAGAGATGCTCTGGCGTATGGGCTTGAGTGCTGCATGGCAGATTCAGCTTTTATGCATATAGACAAAAAAAAGTTTATGGGCAGTGTGCTACAAGCTGCTTGATGGTGGCATAGATCAGAGTTGAGGTGGAGAGCAAAGCTCTCAGAGCTGGAGGTAAACATACCCCCACCATATTGGAAAGCCTGGAGCCAGAAGGCAAAACCTTTGCTTTAATCCTAGCTATGCAGTTTAGGATAATAAGACTCATGTGGTCAGAAAAAAAGAGATATACAGTAAAGACAAATTCAGAGGAGAAAACCCTCTAAATGGTTTACAGTGTGTTTAAAAATATACATAGGCTTGGGAGAGAAAAGAAAAAGGATAGAGAAAGCCCTTTAAAAAGATAGAGTAGCTGGGCATGGTGACACATGCCTTTAATCCCAGCACTTGGGAGGAAGAGGCAGGTGGATCTCTGTGAGTTCAAGATTTGTCTGGTCTACAGAATGATTTACAGGACAGTCAAAAATACACAGAGTCTGGATACTGTATGTTATTGTGTTGTCTTTGCATTGTTTGATTGCTGAGGAAGAAGCAACAACTGCTAAAAGACATTTGATTATCAATACTGCCTTGACTTCAAAATTTAAGTCTAAGGACATGTTACTTTGGAAAAGAGGTTCTGCTTTTGTTTCTACAGAAGATGAAAAGCTGTGGATTCCTTCCAGACGAACATGGTTTGATCAAACAAGACCTCATGAAGCAGTGGCCCAGGTGATCCAACACCCAAAACAGCTGAGACAATGCAGCCTCAGACTACTACAGCCAAGATTTGGCCATGGCTCTAGGTTTTTGCAAAATTGCCTTGGGATTGACAGTGCTCCCAAATAGCAGGGAGCAGTTTGGAGAGAACTATACCCAAATTCCCAGATATTGTTTATAAATGTTTGTTTTCAGTTAAACATGGTTGCTTATAAATGGTTAATGATGACAGTCAATATCTTTCTAAAGGAAAAAAGGGAATATGATATAGAAATGAATACTTTGCATTGGTAAGGATTTGGGGTTATTGATACAAATTTAAGGTCAATTTGTTATATGTATATTTCTCCTCTTGTTTAGGCTTTGTGATTATACAGCTCACTTAAAATGTAATGTATAATTAAATACTGATTATAGATAGTCACCTATAATAGTCAAAACATGTTAGTTAGATTTTCTAAACATATAGAGATATTTGGATAGGTATTCTTCAAAACCTTTCAAAGACCTACAGAATACAGCATTTAAAATGGTTTATTAGGGTTTTTCACAACAATGAGACACAACTACTCCCGACAATACCAATTATGTCAGAGAGAAAGATGAGTTTGCTTTCGACATGGCAGGGATAGCCATTTGGACAAGAAACTGCTCTTGCCTGGACTGATTGAAAGCACACTGTCCAAACTAGACAAGCAGGTTACAGAGAAAAGTGACTGCTGAACTTGCCAAGGGACAGGATGGTCTTTCAAGGTTCCTGCTTCATCAAAAAGTCTGCCAGACATTGTGGTTTTATAGGCTAACATTACATAGGAACTTTGTCTGACTGTCCATGCATCGAGATGTCTCTATCAATTCTAGAGTTTATATATTATCCTTCTGGGGTCTTTGATGGAGTTGAAGACAGATAGTTATGGTTTTCCTTAGTTATGATGAAAGATAAGTAACATATAAAACTCACAAAGATAGGATAAATGATAGAATATTTTCTTTAAATTTTGCCAAATGTTAGTGGACTAAATATTGTTAACTATAGTTCTTGCTTGATAACTATTTTGTTATATATAATTTTACTATGTTAAAGCTAAAACCTTTCTTTTTATTTAGACAGGAAAGAGGCGATTATGGGGGATCCCTTCTATATGCTATAAATATATGTTTCTTTTATTGGTTAATAAATAAATCCTGCCAATGAATAGGCAGGATTTAACCAGGCGAGAAATCTGAACAGGGATAGAGAAAAGTAGTAGGCAGAGCCAAAGAGATGCCATGTAGCTGCCGAGGAAACAAGGAACTGCGGGAATCACCAGTAAGCCAAGACCATGTGGAAATATATAGATTAATAGAAATGGATTAATAATTAAGAAAGAACTAGCCAATAAGAAGCCTGAGCCACTGGCCAAACAGTTTATAATTAATATAATCCTCGGTGTGTTTATTTGGGACTAAGTAGCTATGGGACCAGGTGGGGCAGAAACTTCTGTCAACAGAACTGTATTGGTTTTATTGCTTATAGAATTTTATTCTACATTGTCTTCTCTTTTAAATTTTTGTTAGCTTGTTTTCAATGTCTCATGTATTTTCTTAGTAAGTTATATAGACAGTATATAACTTTCTTCCTCAAAGCTAAATAGACTAACATTTGTTAAATACTGACTTCGATTCTGAAACAATTTGGCAAACTGTAGGGTAAACAACACTAAGCACACTTCTTTATTGCAAGCCTCTGTGAGTCTGTATTGTGTAATTACGGATTATGAATCGTGGAAACATGCATCACCTCCCAAACTTGAACCAATCCAGTTCTCTGGTCATTTAGTGTTATAGAGAACGATTGCACTCACATTCTCCTCCTTTAGTAACTTGTGAAGTGAAAGCGTCTATGGGATTCATTTACAACTGGCCTCTTATTTGGCTTGGCACTCTGTTTCATGATGGAGTTTGGTATGTGGAAACAGAATCCATTCTTGATACTTGACACAGAAAGAATTTACAAAGGAACCCTGGAGCTTGTGAAGACAGAACTGGAGGACTCTGTAGAGTTGGCTTATAGATATGCTTCCCAGAACACTGGAGGGCTGAACCACCCCCTCTGTCAATGCAGGAGGCCACCTGACTCCAGGAACACACCACCACCACAGCTACAATGCAGGACATGAGGCCCAGTAAGAAAGTCTCTGCCACTCCAAATGTGGAACACAGGAGTTTTCCACCTAGTAGCCAGGAACTGTATTTGGAATTCCCTGTAATTTTGGTTCTCAGTATAAAAATATCCCAAATGGAAGGAAGACGTCCTCCAGATCCCAAGGTCACAATGAATTCTCTGAATATCAGTTTCAGGTTTCTAGTCTTTTGTGCTCAGGATAACGTTCAGTCTCCTAGATGGGCACTCAGTCTGCGGAGTGACTTCTCTAGTCAAGGATAGGCACTGCTTCAGGGTCTAGGTTTGTCACCTATCAGAATACAGGATGTTCAAACCCCTCCCAGGAATCATCGACTTTATTTCCTCAAAACTTTCCACAAGGGTCGTAGTGACAGTTCACAGCCAGCAGAAGCAACTGGAGACAATTTTGCTTCATCTGTCACTCAAGTGCTGCTGCCCTGTACTAGAGACTGCCAGCAGGTTTTGACATTTTCTTTTTCTTTCAATAAGGATCTCCAGAGAATCGTACAAGGGGCCAGCCCCTCTGATTAGGTGACCTAGAATAAACTTTGCTCGTTAAAACAGAAAATTCGCTACCCCCTGGACATCCAAATCTGCCAATTCTTTGAACATGCAATGTGTGACCTCACAGCATGGTGAGGAACGTTTGTGGCTGTACCTGGCTTCAGCCCCGAGTCTTCTCTGCTCAGGGATGTGCACTGCTTTGCGATTATATCCAGGGCTCTCGTGCTGAAAGCAACGAACTTTTCTTTGCTCCATTATTTTCTAGCTGTACCCGCGAGTTTTGCATCCACCAAAGAGGGAACTCCTTGTATTTGAGTTGTTTCTCTGTCCCCCAGAGACTGATCCTGAAATGGGTGAGACTAGAAGTAATCTTCAAGATTTGATTTCTCTCTGGTTATCAGAAGATCTGGAACTGGTCTTAAGGATGGATGCTTGGCGCAGAGGCTCATCTCAGTAGACTCTTACTGGCTCTGTGGATTCTGTGTGCATGTGTGTGTGTGTGTGTGGGGGGCTATGCCCAACCTCAGGGCTATGCTGAGGCTTGAGACTCTCCCGTTATATATAATAAACCCCACACATGGAAAGGAATCTTCTGATTCCTTTCCAGACCAAGCGCTGATCTTCTCTTTGTTTAGCACAGCCCACCTTTATTTTTATTACTTTTAATTGAAAATTTACACAATTTAGTCTGACCATACTTTCTGTTCCTCCATCTCCTTCCAGATCTTCCCTGACTTCCCACCCATCCATCCAACTTATGGTGTGTGTGCTTCCACCTTTATTTTTTGAGGCAGAATGTCTCACCGAATCCAGAGTTCACTATTGAGCTAGACTGGGGGCTCTGTAGATCTCCTGTCCCTGCAGTGCTGGAATTACAGGCCAGCATTGTCCTACCCTGTTTTATTTGGGTGCTGGGGATCCAAACTCAGATCCTTAGGCATGTGTGGCAGTCCCTTTGCTGATGAAGCCGTCTCCCAGACCGTTGACTTTTTTCAAGTTGTCTTGTCTTGCTGTACTTCCAGCCTTCTCTGTGGTTCCTCCTTTGTTCACAAGAGATACCTAGATGACTCCATAGTTGAATAAGTGAAAGAAGATCTGCCAGGGCATTTTCCATAAGTTCTCTTCTTTAGCTGATTGATCTAGTATCCAAGACCCAAATTTTCTACCTATGTCACCAGGGAGCAGAAACCTTGGACAGTTTCCTCATATGGCAAAATGCTTCTCTGGGTATATTTCTGTATACCCAGAATATGCTGTAGGAGGCATTATAGACAAGCCCTGACACATTCAGGATAGCATAGCCATAGACTGGGGGCACTTCAAAAGCTGTACATTTACCCACTACTTTGAAACATCCCTAAAAGCTATAAGAAGATTCTTTCCTTGCTAGCTTAAAACTTTCACCAAGATGGTGGCCACCTTAAGATATTATCTCCAGGAAAGCCTTTCAAAAAGAGGCCAAGGGGAAATATTTGTCAGTCTTGTGCATGTCCCTTGATACATGACAAAGGGTCATAAGGACCAAATGGCCATAAGGATAAGTGATACAAAGAAAGACTTGGAACTTCTGCTGGTGGAATGTCCTTTGGCCCAGTGTTTACCTTCCCCTTTGCCAAGTGAGGCTAGTGAGACCATCCAGCCAGCCCCATAGAGATACTTACACTGCCATGTATGTGTTCTCACATGGATGATGGACAGTGCCATGTAAGCACACCTCATAGGACAGGCAAAACTGGACTGCGACAGTAGTACCACTGTGAAGGTACACATATTAAATGACAAAACATAGGCAGATGGATGGCTTCTCTGTCATAGTTATACTGAGGTCTTAAATTGCCCAGGCTACATGCTTGTGAAATCTAGAGTTCCCTATGTACTGCAAATTCCATCAAGATCCATTATTTTTTCTTCTGAGCAGGATTTTGATTCAGGAAGAGATTTATGTTCATTTAATATGGTCTCAATAACTCTATTGCCAGTGGAAGGCTGCCTATGTCCCACTACTCACGGGGAGAACTAAGGTACATTACAATTCCTGACCACGTAGCTGCGTGACTGGTTACAGTGGTGACAGACTCCTCAGAAGCATGTCTTTGGCATCTACTTCAAGTAGGCTCTTACTTAAAAAAACTTAGATGACAGGAGGAGGGGGTTAGTGTCACATGCCACCCAGGAGATTTAAGAATGCATACTGCCTGGGATCTGTCTTTTGTATGAACAGATGGAAGGAAAACCTCAATGAAAATTTAAAGTCCCCTTTAATTCTATCTTGTGATTGATGTGAGTTCATGGGGTATCAGAGCCCTCCACTCTCGGCAGCTCCCCTGTCCCCGCTACTCGGTTGACACACCTTTTAGCTTTTGTCTTATTTTGAGAAGGCTGTTGAAAATGACCCCCTTTGCCTCGACTCTTGGATTTCTTCAGAACAACATGTCGCATCTAATTAAGGCAATGCAGTGACCAGCTTGCTTTACCAACAACAGCAGCTGCTTCTGCTGAGATGTCCCTTATAACCTTGATTGTCCCCAAATCTGTGCAACAAGATTTTTGTTTCCATTAATATTTAGCTTAATATAGCTCTGAATGATTTAGCATTCCCAGAGTCGGTGGTAAGAAGATGATGACTGGAAAGTTAATCTTCCCACATAATCCTCCTTGGGGCCCCAGGTGAAGATTTTCTTGCTCTGCTGTTAGAAGTTGCTCTGTTGACCTCACAAGGGACTGTGCAGGCAACGATGCTGAGCACAATAGAAGTGTGCACGCCAAGTACCAAGCTAACTTCTTCTTTTGATTGCCTAGTAAGTCCGGATTTAATTATATTAGTTATATTTTAATCATATTTAAAAAAATCTTGTCTAAGTGCATGTGTGGAGGAGTGAATGCAGGTACATGTATGCTATAGAAAATTGATGCTTATCTTCTCTCTTGTTTGAGACAGAGCATCTTGTTTATTGCTGCACATGCTTAGGCTAGGCTACCTGGGCTGTGAGCTCCCAAAGACTCTCCTGTCTCCACTTCCCATCCCGTGCAAGGGTGTTTGGATTACAGGTGTGTGCCAGGTCACCCAGCTTTATATGAACTCTGAGGATCTTCACTCAGGTTCTTAAGCAGCAAATATTTTACCCTCTGAGCCACCTTCCAAGACCCTGGACTCGAACCCCAAGGACAAGTCTTAAGCATGCTCATAAAGTTCTATACGTATGGATTTATGGATTTGATACAGAGGAAACAAACTAATTTTTATTCCTTTCCATCTCACTGTGACACTAACATGCAGCCATTTGTTTCTAGCCCTAGCGTCTTCATAAACTGATGTGTGACTTACCTTCTTCATTCATTGATCTCTAAGGCATTACTACTCTCAGGTACCTACCCTGTTTTGCCTACTATTTCTTACAGCATCATCAAGCAAGTTTTAAGATAGTCCTCTGCACATGAGGATGGATGGAGAAAACACAAGAATAAAACACGTTAGACAGATGGACACGTCCATAAATGCTTCACGTCACTTTTATCTTTCAGTTTTCATGTTTAGTCACAGTCTTGTGCTGCCCCCCTTCTAAGTCAGCATTTTTGACTATTTTCCCAGGATGCAGTTGTTCAGGTTGCCTCGGACAGAAGCTGACAAGGCTTTCTCAGCACCCGATTCTACACATTTATCCTTCAAAGAAGCACAGTTGCCCAAGACATGCATGGGGACTTGCTGTTTCTTGTGGTTCATCAATTGGGATGTCTAATTTTCTACGCAGAAACCACGTTCCCCCGACTCTGAGAACTTTCCACAAAGATGGGGTAGTTCATGCTCAACAGTATTGAGTAGAGCTACAATGGCTCTACCATGTGATCCAAGGATGGTATTGACAGCTCCTTGGTATCCATGATACGAATTACCTGGATTTATTTCGTAATTTCAAATCCATGACATAAATTACAACTAAGAAGCATTGTGACCGAATTAAACCTGGATATTGCATGCACATCATGTGAGCTTCCTTTAGAGGGCACTGTTGATTCTTTGAAACCATGAGAACATTTCTTCACATCCCCTGGTGAGGTTGGCCAAACCTGAAATCTTACTGGGTTTCATATCTACTCAGAAGGAAGTTAGCATAAATTACCAGTCCAGTGCTTGGAATATGTTGTCCATTAACAGACAGTTCAGAAGATAATTCAGCATGTTAATTGTTAAGACAAGTCATCAAAGCAATACACACCATTTTGCGTTTGGTAACACCAACGGGTTTATTTGCCTTTACAAACTCTTCAAATGAGAATTTGCTCTTGTAACTTGATATAAAATTTAAACTCAATAATCCAATCTTTTTGTCTAGAGACATAAACAACCACATCCTTAGGATTCATCATCTCATTCTAGAAATAGATAATATGTTTGGGGGAGACACCATATTTGTAGTCTTATCATTCAGAAATTCATTAAGACTGCAGATATTATATAAAATTTGTCTTTGAATTTGTTGTGCCTTACAGAATCTGCTAATTCATTTCATTTAGATAAATGACAAAGAACACTTTCTTTTTGTTTTAGTTTGTTTTTTGTTTTTTGTTTTCATACAAGTTAACAGAATCATATGGATAGGTTTGTTCGCTGCAGCTTTCAGTCTAACTTAAAATAGAGGGAAGTCCCAAATATTCCAGTGCTCCCAAGCACAGTATTGTGGACACAAATGAGTCCGTATTATCGCTCATAAAGGTTTGCCTCACTTTATGTCACAAACTATTGACCCAACATGTGTCTTGTGCAGTAACTTCTTACTGAATTGCCAAAGGTCTGTATCAGGAAAAGGCAATGATCTTGCTGATATTTTACAAACAAACAAATGATAATTCCATTATGTCCAAAGATCTAACACAATACATTTCCATTGTCTAATGAGTTCAATATTAATTCCTCAGATCAGCCCTTGGAAACTCTTCATGAAATTCCCATTGTCTACCTTTTTAGTCTCAGATTCCTCCACCAGTAATCTAAGCTTTCAGAGAATGATACCCTCCTGTATTGTCAGGCACATATCCACAGAAACATGAACACACACATCCAATGCATCTTTTCAGCATTTTGAATATTACTAAGTCAAGGAAGTCCTCTGTGAATCTCCCAGGCTATGCTCACTGCCTTGCGACTGGAGCCATTTGTTGGGAGATGTCAGTTAAGAAGAGCTTGGGCATCCAGAGCTAGAAAAGCTTCTGCCTAGCTTCATAACTCCAGGAATAATGGCGCAATTTGGCTCCAAGCCTCACCAAGACCAGTGTGCACCTGGAAGTATCTAGGGAATGTTTCCTTCCTAGCCCAAGTCATTGAAACTGTAATCACTCTTGCAAGATTTCTCAGGGCTTCCACCATATCAACATCTGCATTTAACTGGTGGGGCTTAGGGAAGGTCTCTTTCCTAACTGATGGCATAGGGACTGTGCCTGCTGGTGCAAAAGCCTTGATAGCACTCATCCTTCTCCCTGGAGACTACGGAAAGAGCCTGTTCATATCTTCATGCCCCAGATTGTGACTACCAATGCCATTCATCATCACTACTTCTTTCCCCACCCTGACTTGTTTGTTTGTTTTTCAAGACAGGGTTTCTCTGTGTAGCTTTGGAGCCTGTCCTGGAACTTGCTCTGTAGACCAGGCTAGCCTCAAACTTAAAGAGATCCACCTGTCTCTGCCTCGCCAAGAGTGCTGGGATTAAAGGCATGCACCACCCAACACCCAGCCACTAACCCTGACTTATAGGACATTCCTGCCCATGCCACACAGGTGCAAGACCACATATGCTAAAGCCAAAAGTTTGAGAACTCCTGGTGCTCAGCCCACAGACCTAGTGAAGGTCTTCACCTCATCTTACATCACAAGAAGTATAGATGCTACTTCCGTTATCCAGAATGCTACCTTCCTGTGCCTGCTATGAATAACCCAGGGAAAATCTCAGAAACCCATGGGCTTCAGACCACAGCTTTGGTGCCCAAAACACTAGAATCTTTTCTATTTGTTCTCTGAAACCAGGAAAAGGGATCATCTGGATTCCCTAGCTCAATGGAAGACACTAACAGCCCTACAACTCCCAGAACCAATGTCAATCTCTCCATGGAGTTGAAAGAAGGTATTCTTTCTGCCCAACACCTTAAATCTAATATTACCAGTGTCACAGTCTGCAGAACCAAATGAGCCTATCTGGCAGGGTTTGAGAAAAGCCATTACTCTGTGATACAAGAACTGTCTGATGATGCTAAATACTCAAACATCTCCTACATTGGTCCTGAGAATCCCAGACAAGATCTTCATATCCTATGATGTCAAATCTTGTGGCTGCTGGTGCCAAAACCCTGGGTGTCAATTCTGCTTGCCCTAAGGCCTCTGAGGACAGTCCTTTACACAACCAACACCATCAAGATGTAGCAGGTATCTCCAAAAGAACCAGTGGCCCTGGGGATCAACCCTGTGAAAGTTAAAGGCATACCTTAGAAGTACCTAGTAACTCTTCAAAATAGATATGAAGTTGAAGGTAGCCTATCGAATGCCTGAAAAATAATTTAAAATTAGTGGTTCTAAGGAAATTCAGTGAGATGAAAGAGAACATAAAAAAGTTATAATAGGAAATTAAAATAATGGAAAAATCTCACCAAATAAATAGAAACAACAAAAAAGACCCATTGTGATGTCTTGGAACTAAAATGCTTCAATCAATTAAATGAAAATATAATAGGGAACTGAAGAGATGGTATAACATTTAAGAGTACTTTCTGTTCTTCTAGAGGGTCCAAGTTCAATTCCAGCATACATATGGTGGTTCATAAGCACCCATAATTCCAGGTCCAGGGGAATCTGATGCTCTCTCTGGTCTCTGCAGGCACTACATACATATAGCATACAGATGCACATGCAGGCAAAGCTCAAATACACACAAATTAATAAAATAATAATAAAATCTTTAAGATGAAAAATATAATAAAGAACTTACATAAAAACTAGAAAAAGCAGAAGACAGAATTTTTGAACCTTAGTTGTATGGAAGTTCTCTATTATATTTTTCTCCTTAAAGAAATACAACTAGTTGAATAGATTCATTAAGGCAAAATTGACTAGGAAAAATAGTAAAGTAAAATTTTACAAGAAACATGAATAACATTTATAAAAATTTTGAAATATAATTCAGCAAATAATCATTTATACTATGGAAATTCCAATAGGTAATGAAGATTTGAAAAGTGTTTATGAATTTCTGAAATCTTCAGAGACATAGGTGGATAGATTTAAGCATCTCAAAAGCATCCAATTAGACCCAAACAAACACTCAGCAAAGCATATTATAGTCAAAATTTCAAAAGTTTTAGCAAAAGTCCTTAAAAACAGCAAGAGAAAGTATCAAGTCACACCTAAGAGAAGGCTCATTAGATCTTGCCAAAAATGCTTACTAATATGGAGGCTGGCGAGATTGCTTATTGGCTAAGGATACTTGCACATACATCACAAGGACCCAATTTAGATTCCAGCACCAAGTAGCAACTTGGATGTCCCTAAAATGTTTGTTATTTCAGCTCTATGAGATCTGATACCCTATTTTGTCTTCCATGTGTGTGCACCCTAAGACACGTCTCCCCACAAATTAAAAAAAAAGCGTACTATGTCCACCAAAATTATCCTTTAAGACTGAAAGTGAAATTGTCTTTCTCAGATAAAGATAAACTAAGGGACTTACCACCAATTGAGTTATATAATAAATAGGCATGCTGAGATGCTGTGTAAACCTAATGACAATGAGTTTCATTCAAGTAACTTAAAGCAGAAGGAAAAAGCCAAATTCCTAAAGTTGTCCTCTGAACTCCTCATGTGTACTATGATGCATGCATGCCCCCATATACACACCATATATGCACACAGTAATAACACTATGTGTATATAAAGAAATACATACAAATACATTACAATAGAAATGAAAGGACAACTATTACCACAGAACCTGAGTTACCCAAAACTCAGTAGAAGAACAGAAATACAAAAGAGTAAGAGTCAAACCTTAGCACAACAGAAAACCACTGAATAACAGAAATAGTAAAATAGGCAAAAAGAAAGAAAAATATCCAAAACAAGCAGAATGTAATTAACAAAAATTATTTTTGGTATTATTTATCAATGATAGTACTGAATGCAAATTATGAATTAAATGTACAAAATAAAAGACATAAACTGCACACACACACACACACACACACACACACACACACACACACCAAAACAGAAGACCCAACTATTTGCTGCAAACAAGAAACACACCTCACTGGCAAAGTATATCAGAACTATATGTGAAAATTGAAAAAAAAGTATATCATGAAAACAGAAATTTAAAGAGAGCAGGAGTAGCTATACTCTGATAAAGAAGAATTAAAATCAAAATTACTGAAAGACAGAGACTAATTATATATTTATAAAAAATACATTAGCAAGAAAATATAATGGTTGTATGTATGTGTGTACTCAATAAGGGACCACCCACATATTTAAAGCAAACACTATTAGATCTAAAAATATTTTAGACATATAATATATATGTAATACAATAATAGTGGGATAATAAAGCCCCTAACTTTCCTGAATGTACCAATCATACAGGCAGAAAAATCACACATATATCTGAGGTGAATCATAGAACACCACGGATGAATGACAGACATCTGCAGAGCATCCCATTCAAAGTAGCAGAGAACATACTCATTTTCTTCAGAACATGGAGCATGCTCCAGTATAGCTTACAGCTTAGGCCATAACCAAGTCTCAATACATTTTAAAGAACTGAAATTATATTACATATTTTATCAGACCATAACTTAATAAAACTACAAATAAAAAGAGAATGAATGGAAAGCGCAAAATGCATGGAAATTGAATATCATGCTTCTAAATGAGCAGGCTATCAGTAAAAACATAAAAGGAATTTTTCCTAGAAACAAATGGATACATACCACACACACACACACACACACACACACACACACACACACACACACACACACAATGTATAGATTACAGAAAAGGTAGTACTAGCAAGGAAGTTTATACTATACATAAGAATAGATCTCAAACAATCTAATGATGTACTTCAAAAAAATTAAAAAGCTAGAATCAACCAAGCACAATGTAGGAAAAAGGGAAGCAAAAATAAACGTATAAAAAATTAAAATTAAAACCCAAAGGAAAACAATACAATGAATTAAGTAACAAAGAGTTAGTACTTTGAAAGAACAAAACTAACAAACCTTTAGCTAGACTGAGAAGAAAAACCACCCAAATAAGTAAAATAAAAGATGAAAGAACACAATGCAGCTGATAACACAAAAACACAAAATCTTAAAGACACTAACCTGAATAAATAGTAAGCTAAAAATCTGTCTTAGAAGTGGATAATTTTCTGGAAACATATAACCTAATAGAAAAGAAGTAGTGAATTTAAGTATAAACAAGCCAGTAA